GTCATTTTCTTTAGAAAATGGAACTATGCTTTAGACACTATTTTGCACCCACCTACTCCCATTAGTTTCACGCACCCTCCGGCAAGCTAACGTTTAATTTTAGATTTACATAACGATCAACAAGGTTCATTTTTGTAATTAGCACAAGTCCATGGTTTGTACTATTTTGCTGATTAATTAAAACTAGGAAATGCTTTTAAAGAACAGATTTAACAAAATCCCGTTTCATGAAACCAAATAATAAAGAAAGGTTTAAGAAGAGGACGATCCAACTAAATTGAGTTGTCAAATGAATTTGTCTTTTGCAACCATTACCCAATCGCTCAATCTTGACAGCAATTTGTGATTGTTTTTCCAGTTTGTTTTTCAGCTTTAGCTAAAAAGCAATAGTAACTAACTGTAATACTTAGGTTCCAAAGTCTCTGAGCTACAATAGGTCATAGCCGCATAGTTGCCTTTTATTATAGGTAATTATTATTATTATGATTATTATTATGATTATTATTATTATTACAAGTGATACCGGTAAAAGTAAATTATAATTATTTTACACTATTTAAAGTTTATATAAAGTTTAAACCTTAAAAAAAATTGATCATAAAGAGTTAAAATTTCGTCTTTCCACGGTGCAAGGATGAAGGGCAGAGGCTGGAGTTAAAGGAGAAAGAAAAATGGTATGTGGATGAGGTGAAGACGGTAAAAGCGATAGTAGGAACTGTTGTTTGGACTAGGACAAGATTATTAACAGTGTAATACAAGCAGTGGAAAGATCTCCAAGGTAAAGATTATTAATCGAAGCAAAGAATGAAGAGGCACGTGAGAGGGGGTCTGGTGATTGTGTCTGAGATTAGAGAGACTTTGAGGCTTTTCACGAGGCTTGTGACGGAACGGGATATGTTGCACGAAAAGGACTATATAGCAAAAATAACCAAGGCAAGGGAGGATGAAGATAGTATGGCGTTCCAGAGGGAGTGCCGTAGGGATTCCACTAATCTACATAAATTCACATCAAGAGAGGTTTCTTTGGAAGAACGCGAGATACTAAATTGCGGGGATGGCCTTGTACCTAGAAGATATGGTATTACTGGTGCAAGAGAGAGACAAAGAGAGGTGTAGCAACAAACAGAACTTGCTTTATTGCAATATTCTCATTCAATAATTAATTAACGCATCGTGAAGCGACCAGTAAAATACTCCGCCATGCTTAGGGACGCATCAGTGCACTGCAGGCTCTCCTTATAATTAGAATACACCACGTGGCTTTAATTTCACTGTGTCACAGCCCGACCGCCGAGACGACTTATCCTGGTACGCTTGTAACGGCTTGTTAACCAAAACCCGCCCACCTTCTATTCCGTGCACTTTTAGCTAACGCCAAACCGTCTTTCCTCGACTACATGGTGGAAACAGCGGGAGAATTACCACCTTTGCCACCGGTTTCGGCAGAACCGCCTGCTAACCCAAACCCTCCAGCAGAACCTCTCGCAGGACCGGCGGCACAACCCGCGGCTGCTAATCAGTTAATTTCTAGGTTCTGGTGCATTTTGCTCGTTCTAAGCTTTAGTTAACCGTTGTACAATGCGTTTCGTGTCTTTTCTCCAACGTTTGGGTTATTTGGTTTTCTTGCAAGTTTTGCTACTACCTTGTTTAGCGTATTCAACGTTCCACGTGTCCCTAGGGCATAATTTTGGTTTTTCATTTGCCTCGTTTTGTTACTGTTGTTCGTACACGTAGTTCATTTTAGTTGGTCCTTTTTGTTTTGCCTTGTTTTTGTTCCATTCGGCTCTAGGAGCCGATTTTGTCTGGAACGAAATATTTTTGTTTGTGTCTGCGGTCCGGGACCGCTCGTCTCCGGGAGCCGGTTTTGTTTCGGAGAAAAAAGTTTGGGGTATACGGTTCGTTTGGGGGCCTGTTCTTTGTTTGGGACGAATTTTTGTTGCTTTAGCCCCAGGAGCCGGTTTTCTTTTCTTTGGAACGAAATATTATCGTGTTTGCGGTCTGAGACCGTTCGGCTCCGGGAGCCGGTTTTGGTCATATACGGTGCGGGACCATTTAGCTTTGAAGGAGAAACAAGGCGTTGACGTTGTCACCGCTGCTCTTGCTTCTGTTCGCAACGCTCTTCAGAAGCCGGAAACTGTATATGATCTAAGGAGGCTTCTGCTTACGTCGAGGCCCTGGGTCGAGCAGCCAGGTCATCTACCCACGAAAAGGCGGACTAATACGCAGCCATTCAAGGCCTTCAAGGTCGTAACAGTACGCGCCGGTTTAGGCGCCAACGCCCTTATATTTACAGTCCGCTTAATTGCTATAGATGTGGCCTAACAGGGAATTTCACCAGGGATTGTGGCCGCGAATGCGGCCGCGGAAACTCTAGGCGTTAGCAAATGATGTAAGTGTTGTAAGGCCATGGGACGCGTTTTCTCTTTGTCCGTTTTTTGTACCTCTGGAATTTATGTAACATTATTTTACACTCTCGCTGGTTTCTCATAAGGACGGAGTCGTTAGACATGCCTTTTTCTATGAGCTTTGTAAAGGGTGGTATTTGTTTCTACGATTTGTGTTTTTTCTTAATTATCCTTATTTAATGGTTAGAATAAAGATTTCCCCAGTTATTAGCGTCTCAATCTTTTTTCAGGTTATTGCCTCATTTCTTCGTTGACCCTGGGGGGCCTTTTCAGCGCCTTTATTCTGGTCATTGGTCAGAGCTTGGGTCAACGAAGGATAAGGGGATCCCACCTTCTTTTTCTTTATTTTCTTATTTTTATAGTTTTGTTCTCTGTTTTGCCAGGATTTCGCGGTTGCACTACGGGCAGTCTTTGCGTTCCCGAGCCCTGACGTCAAATGGTGTGACAAAAAGAAAGGAACCCGTATTTTTTGGCCCCACTGTATAGGCGGCGCTTGTGAGTAAAAGATCCATCCGTCGCTGACCTGGCCCAATTGCGTTTTAGACACCCAGATTATTTCCAAGCGGGCAGTTTACATACTCATGTTGATTTCTGGGAGGATCTCATTTTTTCAACTGGTTGCACTTGTCCTCAAGTTTATTTGCCACAGACAATCCGATAGGGAGTGAGAGTTGATAGTTTCTTCCGTCTTTTCAAGGGCAACTTCAAAGGAAAACGTTATGACTCCGCTGTTCCGCCAATTTCTTTTTTCCCGAAATCTCCTTTTTGCCATCAGTTAAGGTAACTCGACCCAGTTATTTTGTGGGGGTACCATCCTACTTTGAAGCTCCCTAGTATCCCCACCTTTACTTTGATCTTAAGTCTAACATATAGATCAATTTACAATACAGCATAAAATTCTCGGCGATCGGAGTAAATGTCACGTGGTTATAGTGCCACGCCTCTTTGGGGACTGAGTCGAAATTCTGCTGTTGCCGGCATTTTTTTCGTGAAAATCTATCGGCTACATATAGTGTGCATTAGTGCCTTGCGTTGAACAGAGTTTCACCAAAATCGCAAAGACCCAATGCGAGAAATTCAGCGGTTTCAGTTTTAAATGTAGGTCATAATTTATGTGAAAATGATAAGCGAACTTTACACGATTATATCTGATAAACATGAGATTTATCCCTTTGTTTTGGGGATCTTCATAACAGGTGGGTCCTTGCAAGTCAGCAAAAAGCTTTAGGGCCTTGTAAATGCGAGCGATTTCGAGCAATGCAAACATATAGGAATTATATTTTTAGCTATTTGTTGACGTTTGCCAGCGTTTAAGAGTCCTTCTCACGAAAAAAGAATTTTCCTAAAAATTCGCATTTTTTTTCCTTCAAATTGGGTCTTTGCGATTTGGGTGAAACTCTGTCCAACGCAAGGCACTAATGTGCATTATATGTAGCCGAGAGATTTACACGAAAAAATGCGGGCAACAGCAGAGTTTCGACTCAGTCCCCACAGAGGCGTGTCAGTGCAGCGTTTTCGAAATTTTCTTGCAGTTCTCCCTCCCCCCACCCTATACAAAGTTGAAACTCGGAAAAAAATTCTGGATACATACATCCAACATTGTTTGTGGTGTGAGGGGAGGGGTCGGACCTGTGTGAATTGGAAAACACCCAGAAATGCAAAAGTGTCCTAAGACTTTTGTTCATGATTGTCTGAAAAAGACATAGGAAGAATATAAGGCAATTTTGAGGGGTTTTCAGGCCTGTAAAAGTGTTTTTTCGGGATCCTGATGAAAGATCGTAATTGAACAAATCTTTTCCTAGCTTTTCGGAGGTTTCTGAAGGTGATTTAAGAATTCGCTCGACAGGAATGATATACACCAGAAATTGTGGAATCTCATAACGCGTCCTTTATTTTAAAGGATAACATAACTTTAAACAAGCCTCACCTCAGAAAAGGGTTAAGGGAAACAACGAGTTACTAACATTATGGTGTACACAGTAAGAATTTCGGTAGGCCAAGGAGCTAGAGTCGTGGATATACGACAAAGCACGAGGTCATTTACCTGGTACTCAATATGAGCACGAACGTCAAAAAATCCAGTAGGCTTGGTAGAGAAAATAACAACGTATTCCAAAAGACTGAACGGCCGTGAAAAAATATTAAGCCATGTGAATAGCTGTCCCTGTCATTTATTCAAAACAAAAATACGACATGCAATTGTGATGTAAGAAAAAAGCGGTTGTTTCATAATAAGTCTCAGGTTCGTGGCAGAACAGTTTTTCGCTGTCTTGTAGAGAATTGTACAGGATCATTTTTGGTTTGAAAGTGTTGCTAATATGTATATGTGTTTATTTGCCATCAAAAATTACGTTGCGTGATATCTGTCACGAACTAAGTAAACAACCAAGCGAGTTTACTTTGAACTGATTTCCATAGCTGGAGAGTACGCACCAACAGTACTCACTCTAAGAACTTAATAAAGTGTGCTTTTCCTATACAATCTTAACATCTTGGGAATGGTGACAGAAAATTTATCTGTAGATTCATCCTTGACGCTTTTATTTACAGCGAAAACGCAATTTTTAGCTCTTTAGTCACAGTACTCACTTTGAAATGGAGAGAAAGAAGAACAAGATAATTTTTCCTTACTGGATCAAGTGAGCACTATTTTATTCACTTTACGGGATGGCCTTTTTGACTCAGATTATTTCAAATGCAATTACGTGTTTCCTTAATGAATTTGTAGCAAATATTGATAATACACTGTGCTTTTTCGACCGAGTACTGTGCACGATGCTCGAAACATTGTGCCTGACCAACTTCCGCTGTACTGGGCTCCAGTTTAGTGGAGTGGACCCGATATGGCTAATCAGGGAATTGCCCTGTAAAACTTGCAATGTTGAGGAAATACTTTCAAAGGTCATTATTATTTCATGTGATTATCTACTTGTCTCCAAAATGCCTAAAAAGCATAGAAAAAGTGAAGAAAACAGACTTTTTCAAACAACAAGGATTCAGATAATCCTGGGCAAACGTCCTTGGGATAGTACCGCAATATTCATATTTTTCTGTTATTTCTCGGTTCCCTCTTTAAACAGTTCAGCGTTTTCAAAATTTTCTTGCAGTTCTCCCTCCCCCCACCCTATACAAAGTTGAAACTCGGAAAAAAATTATGGATACACGCGTCCAACATTGTTTGTGGGGTGAGGAGAGGGGCTGGACCTGTGTGAATTGGAAAACGCCCCAGAAATGCAAGTGTCCCAAGACTTTTGTCCATGATTGTAGGCCTTACTATGGGATCTGTGCGCTTTTCGTTGTATCTGCTCCCGTTAAGCTGTGTATATAGATCGAACGCACATGGGAGCCTGCCTACAGATGTTCCGCCTGCTCTTACCCATACGACAGTGACGCGAACTTTTGCCGAGCCTGCGGTAAACCTAAGTCGCCTGAGCCAACGCAAGGGGCCCGTTCAAATGCAGACATGCCTCTGATCAACTTTTAAGCGCTTTACAGAATTCCAAGAATCGCTCAGAAACAAACCTTATGAACGGCAAAAGGATTCATTAGAAGCTCAGCTATCGAGTTTCTTACGCCCTCTTGTACCCCCAAAGAAATTTTCTGCTGCGATCGCGGAAGACATCGTAAAGTTTTTGATTAGCATGGATGCCGCGGGAAAACAAAAACTCCATATACGCTCATGCTCTAGTAAGACCTGTAGTTGCCCTAAGCGTCTGGCGGCCGGAACTGTCGATTCACATAGCTTCACATATAGGGAAGCTTAGATCGATTTTCAATAGGTTAGGCCGTACAGGGTTTTCTAACCCGTTCGCACGTCCTCGTGTTAAAGAATATATTATGTTCGTAAGAGAGGAGCAAGCTCAGCGACCTTTGTAACCTTGTCAGGCTGTGGCTTTGTTCTATGACAAAATTCACCCGTTTAATTGCCTATCTTCGCGGGCTTGTTGCCGAAGGCTCTGTTCTTTCTCCTCTCAATAGATACCTCCTGGTCAGAGATATAACATTCTTTGTTACAGACTTTTACACCGGTGATAGAGCATCCGATCTGGGCCGTTTAAAGGCAGATGAGCTTTTTCGCCTTAAGGATAGGGAGGGGTTCCTTCTTAACTTAACGTTTAGTAAAAGGAGGTGTGCAGGGCAGTTACGTCCCTTTTGCTCTGTTACGCGGGATACCAAATGTATCTGTCTGCCTGGTTTTTTGGCTGAACTATTATATTGCCGCATGTGGGGCGTTGGGTGTCCCTCTTCTGAGAGAGTAACTCTTTAGATCCTCGGAACATAAGAAGTTTGTGTCACATCGTCCGTTTAGAGGGTCAGCCGTATCTGCAAGACTCAAAAAGTATCTTAAGGCTGCCAGCATTAATGACGGAGAGACCCTTCACAGCTTTCGTGTAAGGATTTCATACACCCTTAAGGGTTTGGGTTGTACTCCGGAGCAGATTGCCCAGTACGCGGTTTGGCGGAGCACAGAAATTGCCTTGTACTACACGCACTGCTCCAGTGCTTCTACTTCTTTGCAGTTGATAGAACGGGTTACACTCAATCTCACTTCTGCGGGCTCTCCGCCCGCCCTGCAACTCTCTGACCAAGAGAATTCGCAGAGAATTCGTATAGTTGAATTGTATCTTTCATCACTTAGGGACATTCATTCTAGTACACTACTGTGGTTATTTATGTCATTCTATTGGATATTAACTTGTTGTTAGTTAATAACTGAATCTTTATTGAGTTATGGAGTATCGGGTGTTGAGTGTTGGGTATTGAAATTATAAGGTCGATGTGCGTGGCTGCCGGTTACAGTTTGAACAAATTGCGCGTGATGTGCAATGTCGTAAACCCTCAAGTAAAGACGACATAATGCGGTCGTCCTGATTCTGCTGTTATTCAAACTGCAATAAGCTCGACCAATCAGTAACTTTTTTAATTCGTTTCGAAAAAAAAACTGTTGATACCGCTCCAAAGCATCTCCTTTGTTGTTTTAATCTGTTACGTGTAGACCTTATCCTTTGTTAAACCTTTTCGATATGGACAGGAAACAGGGCAGCTGACTTTCAAGTTAAAGTTATTTGTCTTTCATCAGTGGGCAAATTGTTCCACAGAACAGCCCCGCTGTAGCAGAAGCTATATCTATAGTAATTGGTTCGTGGCAAGGGAACTGCAAGCTTGTTTTCAGAATCTCTAATGTTATAAGAATTAAGTAAATCGTTGCGTAGTATGAATTTTGAAGACATGTAATCAGGTGCAAGGCAATTCAAAGATTTATACACCATCACAGCCTCCCTTGACGACCATAAACAAAGTTTCTTCTGAATTTTCCTCGTTAAAAGGTAATTTTTAAGTGCACAAATTGTTCACGCGCGGTCCATATATGTAACAGTACATTAAGGCTAGAGTTTTGTACGTTAATTGTCATTTACACCATTGTGTCCTTGTCTTTTAGGAATTATTTAGGCACGATGAAAGGACCCTTTTATGACAAGAGAGGATAAAGGGGACAGAGAAGGCATCCCCCATACACACCCTATTGCATAGGTAATTCGTGTCGAGTTATTTTTAAGACCATAAATCCCGCGAATAGCGCGAATGTGTTCCGCGTCGATGACCCACACTCAGAGCCACGCGTCCTTCACGAATTGACGCAGAAAAAACGGCGGAAGATGCGGAGAGCGATATTCCTATTTGTTTTGTCGACGAAAACGACCAAAGAGAGATTTCTGCTAAAGCTGTGTCAGCGAAACGGAAATTAAAAAAGAATCGCCCTTCCCCTCTTGTATAGGGCTAACAGTACAGCAGGGAAATCCTTACCACACTGAATACTCTCTCAGGATCATTTATAATTTACAGTTTGAAGAAAGCAATTTCTGGTTTGATATTTATTCTTTTATTAGTCTTTTATTATTCAACAAAAATAACACTTGGCGTCTTACTTGCTTTATTATACAAACGACCGGTTTCAACAGACCAGCGAAATTTCTCATTTTATTAAAGCACTGAGGTTACGACAACTTCGAGTTAAACTGATTTCACGGGTTGTGAGAGTGCAGCGATTCCCTTTTCTCAGGTGAGCGCCGACTCATTTCGCTTCAATATTCAGAAATGCTCTCGATCTCTCTACGCTTTGATTGCCTTTCGTCCGACATGTTTTGCACGGCGTTTAGTCATGCGAAACCTCCACGAAACATCCACGCAGCGCTCGAGGTAACTTTATCCCGATTCTAAAAATAACTCGAGACGAATTACCTATGGCATTGGGTGTGTATGGGGGATGCCTTCTCTGTCCCCTTTATCCTCTCTTGTTTTAGGGTTAATGCAGAGGCACCTTAAAACTACAACACCAGTAGCATAATACACGGGATGGTGACTTTTTAAAAGTAGACTATGCACGATCAAAGAAAGATTTCCAGGACCAAATTACGTAATAAGTAGAGTGGTACGGAACCAGAAAAACAAAGTCAGTTGTGTTTTGTAAGGGTTAGTGGAGGAAGGGAGAGATTCAGCGAACATAGGTAAGTTGACACTTACACGAATTGCTTGGTTCCATTATATCCCCTCCATAATTATAGTGTAAAAAGTTTGGCGTTCTGTAAAACGTCTTTACGAGCTTATTTTTTCGTTGTGCGACAAAAACTGCGAGAAGACCTCAGTTTTTGTTTCATATCGTTTCTACGCTTAAAGGTCAGTACGGCATAAATTCTTTTCTCATTTGGAAAAGATATACCTTTACATGTTATATAGCAAAGAAATCTAGTTCAAGATCTGAAATGATAGCATTTGCTTATGGATGCATTATAGAAACCGCTCTGAAAAGACCTGAAGCACGTACATTAGAGCATTTCCTCTTTCATTTCGAAAAATTCGCTTCTTCCTGGAAGTCAGAAGCTCTTAGTGTAGTTGAAAGAAGACACCATAGTTCAAGGATAACTATAATATGAGTTCAGAAAACAACAGTATCGGTGCCCATGTTTATTAGGTTTATGTACTAAGGGACTGGAGAGAAGGAGTGAAGGGAGGTGTCTGCCCAAATCATCTCCATCTCTGTATTCTATTTTATCTCTATTTTTTATTTCTGTATTCTATTTTGTATCTCTATGTTACAGTTAGTCATATTAAGTATCACTGTTCAAATCCATCATGCTTCGCAGCCCGCTAGTCCCGTTTCATTTTCCTTTTGGTGCGTTTCTGTGGTAATTTTCCGGTAGGTGCAGCTCAGTGAGGAAATATGCTTCTGCTTTTCTATGCTTATGGTTGGTCTTGTTTCTTTAAGTCCTGTTATTGAAATGTCTTCATCCATCCACTGTTTACAGCCTTGTAATTGTTATAATATGTTTAAAAATAGGCAAGTGGGTGCCCTTCAGCCTTAGGTTTTAAGGTTAACAGTGTATTGTGTGATTTGATTTGAAAAAGTGCTCCGACTCCATTTTCTTTCTTTTAGGAATTATTTTTATTTTATATTTAAGGGTAATGGGAAAGGGATATTTAATACATTTATTTATATTATTGATTGATTTAAATGTAGGTGCTTCCTTATTTAGAAATCCATAGAAGATGATGTGAAAAATTATACAGTACATGATGCAGGAAGTGCTGCTTAGAGAAAGAATGCTACTTTGAGCTAGTCAAGAGTAATAGATTGCAACATGAAGAAAATCAGTTAAGGAAGTGGAGCGTGATGGAGATGGAGAGGATGATATGGAGCGACAAGAGACTATACATAACAGGAAAAATTTCTGAATAATTAATTTTTTCTTTTTCCATCGACTGTATAAGTATATTTTTTTCATTGACTGTATATAAATATTTTTTTAAAAACAGGTTGTAGCTGCTTTGTACTCTTTTCTCTTTAGTAAACATGTTATTTTTATAACATTTTCTTAAAACAAAACTTTTCCTTTTCATTGAAAGTACATGTATACAAATTATTAACAAATTTTATGTTTTACTTTTATTTGCCTGGATGGTTTTCATGCTATACTACTCATAAGCTTCAGCCAAATTATGGTCGGCCAAGCGGTCTAGCTGCCCAGTCATAATAAGTTATAGCTGAGCAGCCACCCGCTTGGCTTCGGTGACTGCATCTTTAATTTTTTGGGCCTTCTCTTTGAAGTGTTTCAGTAAACAAGAGAAAAAAAGACTTAATTTGTTTCCACTTTTCAACACACAATTACATTTATATGGCGATTCACAAAAACTAGTTTCGCCTAACGACCTCTTCAGTTGATCGTCACAGTATTCAAAATAACATAAACTACTTAGCAATGCATGAAAAATAACCTCAAGTAGTAATGAGGCTATTGGGTTACAACAGTCCTTCGGATGCAGAAGTAGTTCCATTCACTTTTTGGGTTCATTAGATTCTCTTCCCTGATTTTACTAATCAGAACAGACTTCGTGATTTGTCTTAACATCGTGTCAAATCCTGCTGTTCTCTTTGTATCTTACATCTTTTTTCTATTTCCATTGCAGCCAGAGAACCTTTAATTTCCGTTTCATCCTCTGGGGACAACTGTAAAATGCAGGACCCCAACCATTTTATATATCTACTACTATTAACATATCTTGGACTCTAAGATAGTAAGATATGATGAGCTCATCAGCGCCTTAAGTTAACAAAATGTTGAAAGCCTTGTCTCATCAGGAGCTCAGAAGGCAATCAAGGAGATAGGTCAAGGGTGGGGAGGTCAAAAGCACAAAATATAAGGCAAAAGGGAGAACTGGTGGGCTTCGGAGACAGAGGCCTATTTCCACACGTTTCGACGCCATTATTGTACTATTTGGATGAGCTATTCGTGTCATTATGTTGTTTGAAGGTGCTTTTTGCTTACTACAATAATCTGGTACCTTACACTTTGGGACCATAACGCTTTCTGTCCCAGGAGTTCTGTAGGGGCTAGCCATTTCGAATTTCACACTTCAAAGCATTGAGTAAGTACACTTGGATACATGGTTTCCATGAAAATATGGAAATTATATTACATTGC